AAAGCGGCAAATCATGCTTAATGTGGCATTTGTATGTTTATTTTTTTATTTTATACATTTTCCTTCTACGCTTTTCTTCAGCGAAAACAAGCCCAGGACTTAAAAGAAAACGCCAACGGGCACAGCAGCAACAATGATGCCATAAAAAGGCAGCAAATAAAATAAAATGAGACGAGATGAGTTGAGTTGAGTTGAGATGAGATGAGATGCGATGCGAAAGAGGCCAAAATGAAGCGCAAGGCCAAGAGCAGGACGCAGGCAATAAGCAGTTGCGAAGGCGAAGGGCAAATAAAAACCACAGAGGCGCGAAGGGACTTCGCTAAGCGGCGGCCCAAAAGGAGCAGAAAGCCGAGATGATATAAATTTTGTTGTCATGTCCAAGTAGATTAAACTAGCTGCATATCCGTCCGACTCTAGAGTCCCGAATTCCGGCTCCTCGATCCCGTAAACGGAGCTCAAAAAGTGGACTACAAAAAAGGCGCACGAGATTTATGTGCTTATGTGTGTGCCAGTTTGTGTCTGTGTCGGGCTTGGACAATAAAAGTATATTTTTCACTTTTTACGCAGCATATTCATACACATTCGGACATTAAGTGGGTCTTATGCTTGCAACAAAAAAAATCATCTTGGAAATTCAAGCATGAAATGAAGGATTTGTACATATAAGCTAAAAAAATCAAACAGTGATGGACAATTAAAGGGAACAATAAAAAAACGTTATTAATAAGGCCTATATGCCTAAAATTTTCCCAAGTAGCGGACAAAGAAATCCGGACAGGTAAATAAATGTTCGTTGTGTAATTTATTCAAAATTGTGTTTATGGTTTCATGATCATTTTTTTTTAACGAATAAATTAATTTATTAGCTTTTTTCGATCGTGTAGCTGCCGTAGGATCGATCAAAAAATTCAACGCAATATGTCGATTTGTTTTTAGACATATACACATTGAAATCGAAACATAGTCGTTTTGTAATAAATGCAAGAGTAAATAGGCTTCGACTTGTTGAAATTTACTTCTTTCTTGTAAGCAAGGAGTGGACTAATATTTGATTGTTTTGTACATTTGTTGTTATGGTTTAAACGGAGTGACGTTTCTAGAAGAAACTTTTAAAAATTGGAAAATAAATATTTTGTAAATTGATTACAAATTTTACAGTAAAATTGGCATTTTAAATTTTTTTCTTATATTTTTGTTAAAGTAAATACACGATTTAAGGCAGTACAATTTTAAATTTGGATAGTTTGAAAAATATTTGACAACGAAATCTAGTCATCTATAATAAATGTTCTTTCAAAAACATTTCCTATTTTCTCTATACTACTTCAGACGCTTTTAATAGCAGATTAATATATTGGGTTATTCCGGTTTGGGAAACTAGAGGTTCTTTTATTTTCAGTTAAATATTCACGCACATTTTTCATCACTGATTACAAGCGATTATCAACCCAGACCAGACTTGAATCTCTTCTCTATGCCTATCTGGAAACACACTTCGACATAAGCCGACACAAATAAATAATGATTTATGCATCAAGGTGCCCTTCTGACAGTTGGGCAACCCATGGAAAAAACGAGGGCCTTAGCTCATTAAGTTAAACTGTCAAATTTACATATTCTTCGTCTCATTTTTTTCTTTTCCCTTTTAAACGATTTATTATGAAAAGCTCAAGGACTCGGATTGGCAAAGGTTGTTATCCCCTGTAAATAAATTCTTATCTTCGTAGCGTTTGCTATGTGCAGAAAGTTTTTCTGTCTTTCAAGGTCTGCTTATCCAATTATCAAAACCAGACATTTAATTTTCCCTTCTACTGGCTCTTGCCCTCGACAAATTGCTCGTTCAATTAGCTGCTCTTGAAGATGAACATTGCACTTGAAGAACGAATACAATTTCCAATTCAATTTGGGACCGCGTCTCAAGTTTCGGTCCCAAACAATTTATCATAATTTCCCAAAGAAAATAAATGAGAAAAACGAAAACTCTTGCAACTCAGCAAAGTTGGCACGCCTTCATCGGCAGAGACCTTTCTGCCACCTGCTGTCGAAGACAAATTGCAGGAAAAATGTAAATTTTCTTGAGCGATTCTTTGTTTATTCTATAAGTATTTACTTTTATTCATTTTTCATCCTCTGACAAGGCGACATTTTTCTTATCAGCTAGTCCAAAAAATGTCCCGTTGTTATAACAACATAAATTCACCTAATTGGACACTCCTAATGTAAAAACCTGTGTTTGCTGGTTAAATGGTATTTCAATACAAAGCACAATGAGTTGTTGAAGGCGTTTCTTTTAAACTCAATAAGTGTGCACAATTTTATTTTAACAATTTGAAGCGCAGCTCACCAAATTTAATATGTTTTAAAGCTCAAAGATTTTGTTTGAAAAGCTCAAGGACTAAAACAAGTTGGTTTTAGTTTGTATCAAAGGGAAATTGATTAGATATCCATTAACGAGAAAGCCAAAGAGCTCTGTTGTGCTTGATTACGCTGCAAAAACAAGCTTTTGAATAACATTGCAATTACAAATGTCAAAAAGCTATGGTATATATATCTAAATTACGTTTAGTTAGGGCAGCTATGAAAATACTTTAGGTGTACGCCCAGGCAAGCTGTAAGTTAATTGAAAGCCAACGGCGGAATCAAGGCAACTGTCTTTTCGAATGATGGACGACTGTCTTGCCGAGGAACTGGCTGACAGACTGAAAGACAGTCGCTCTGCGGCTGAAACTCCATTGCCGCCGAACAGTATATTAAATTTAGCTCTTCACGCGCTGATAGATAATCAAATTTACTTCGATTCGTAGTGCACTTCTTCTACTCCTCGGCTGACAGGTGCCGCGCTGTTTGAGTTGCCAGAGCTGGCTCAGTTGGCATAGTTGGCTCAGTTGGCATAGTTGGCTCAGTGGGCCGCGTTAACTGACTGGCGCTGATGGTTCCCATTAAGCCGAGTTACACGTCCGGACTCCCCACGGGCAGCCATCCTTTGGGCCTTAATTAAAATGTAATTTACTACCCTGGAGAACGGTGACGGCGTCTACGTTTGAGTTTGCTGCTGTTGCATTTCCTAGTGGCCAACTTAAATTGACTGGCAAACTGACGGGCTCCAAATAAATCGATGAGTAAAGTTAACTGAATTTGTATTGAATATTGAGCTAGAATATTTTTTCCCGTTAAAAATAAATCAAATAAACACGAAAAGAAGCACACAAAGATATTACAAAAATGAAATCATCTTCAAAACGACTTAATTTCATTTCTATAGGTACATGTATAAACACAATGAATTCCGTTCGTTCGTATTGCAGCTATATGATATAGTTGTCCGATCTTAATAAAATGAAATATCAAACAGTATTCAAATATACTGAAAACAGTTTTGTATATATTTATATACTAAAGGAAAAAAAGGTTGCAAAAGTGGCATTAGGTTAGCTTTAAAACTACAAATTTAAGTAGAAACGGACGAACAGACAGAAGGACATAGATATATTAAATTTATCTACTTTATAGGGTCGAAAATGCTTCCTTTACTGTGTTGCAATCTTTTGGATGAAATTATAATACCCTTAAATCGACAAAACCCTCCCTGATTCTGAAAGTTACAAAGTAGTAAAAATTCTAAAATAATGGTTCGGTTTTTAAAATTATAAGTCGAAAGATATCGACCCAATAAACATACATGTACAGATTAATAACAAGCCTCTATTATGTCTCATTTGACAGACTTTCGCGATTTGTGGTCTTCAGAGGGGGCGTGGCAACATTTCAAAATAAACTATGCAATTGAAATTAAATTCTGCTCGCCCCTTTAAAGGGTCATTTATTTTTAGTTAGCTTTCCTGTTTGCTTTGCCGATGGTTAATGTATAAATAATCAGCTTATTTAATAATCAAACAAAAAAAACTATTAACGAGGTAAAAAAGTCGTAACGATCGCACCTTCAGCATACAAAACATCTGATATCTAATTTTGTGACGAAAAATGAATAACCTTTCGACAAAATTTGTAGTATGTCACTTTCACCGTTTTTCTCCTGAACTAAAAAATTTTTCTAAAGCCTTGGTATGGATTCCCTGTTCTTTTAACGATTACTCGTAACGATCGGACCATCACAGTAGATTTTCAATTCTGCGGCCATTTACAGTATTTTCCAATTCACACGCTCTTGGTGCGCATCGGCACTACATGTACTTGAAAGACATGCAAATTAAGTTGGAACTTAATGTCACACGGGTGGTATCTCTGCTAATATTATTTCATGATTTCTTCAGGGGATATTTTGATTTTATTTATTCGTGTATTAAATTCATAGCAAAAACATAAAATTTCATTCATTTCATTTACTGAAAACCAAAATGAATTACCAATTTTCAAAGTAGTTGCAAAATAACTCAGAAATGGCTATGTTTGTAGTTCGTGTTTGCCTTATTATCTCAATACACATAAACTATCAGATGTATTAAAATGAATCCCCAATCACTCTCACTCTCCGAGAGCTCAAAAAGCAAATCAGCTGCAGACAAATGTGGCAAATCGCCTTGGATTTTCTTCAGTAGGGACCAGACACACTTTAAGGCATAAATGTAGCCTCTTTGCATTCGGGACCTTGGACCTTCTTTGCAGCTTAGAGTATTTTTTTTTATGGGAATTTGAAAAATGCCAAAACATTTGTCCATTTGCGAGCAGCACAGGGGAAAAACGCGTGCGGATAAACCCCAAAAAAAAGAAAAAAAACAGATTTTAAAACTTTGCCAAGGCTGACCCTTTTCTGGCGTTGGCCTTTGGGATTAACGGACAGAAGAAAAATTGAAGCGAGTTACCCCAGGCCAGCCGACTGCCAATTTATTCAAATGCCTTGCAAAGTGCTAAATAAACAAGACTCAGTCCCCCGGCATGGTCATGTCATTTTTCTTGGTTTTAGCTGGGTGCAAAAAAAAAAAAAACAAAATTATAGCACACTTATTTGGTGTCGGGCGCGGCCCCCACTTCCCCGCACTCACCTTGTATGGGCACATAAATATTTAGATAGAGGCAGTCCTCTGATTGATTCTGCAGATAGGGCAGCAATCGCTTCAGATACTCCAGCCTGCCCTTGGGCATTCGTTCCAGCGCCGCCGTCTCGTTGTGGATGTCCGGCAATCTTTGCGGGCAGACTGGGCTGAATCTGTAAAATCGAAAAAAGATTTCAGTGCCGAGCTTGTCAAAGGAGAAACTTTCCCCCGTGGCATTTTGACTGTTGTTCAACCAAAAAGGTTTCCCCACGCGAAGAAAAGTTTTTCGGTAAATAGGCTTATTTTTATGCCCGGCCTCGAATGTCGTTATAAATAGATTAATTTGCTGGAAGTGTGTAATCTTCGAGGGATTTTTTGGGATGAGTTCGTAATGATCCGAAGAGAGACCGAGTCAACGTCCACTTTGTGATTGTCTTTTGGCCATAACAACTTTTTGATTTGAACGCAAAGTTTGCGTTTTAATTTGTTTTTGGTTTTTTTGGCCCCCGCCCTTCCATTTTTTTTTTTTTTTGCATTTTTCTCTTCTCTGCCAAGGCTTATTTTCGATGCTGGCAAATTGGTTTTCGATTCGGCTCTTGTCGTTCAATTTTCCCCATTGGCATATCCCCCTTTGTGGGTGCATTTGTGCAATTTGCTGATTTTCTCCCTCTATTCCTACACACAGGCCATGCAAATGCCAGAAGCGTTCTCTCTTTGCGCTCATTCATAAATCTGATGGGACCTGGTATACACAGAAACCAATTAGGAGCTTATAAGCAAATTAAAGGGCTTCATTGTATAAAGACTCACACCTAATGCTCAGGTTTATAAATTAAATAATGACAAATTTTAACTAAATACAATTATTTCCTTTAAATTATTTATACTTCTGCTTCGAATAGATATATGGTTCTTTTCGGTACTGATTTAGCCCCAAGGCGAGTTTTCTTAACTCAAAACATGATACACTTTTTGAGTATGGAAAAATTTACCTTTAAATTAAAAAAAATTAAATTTACAATTTTTTTTATAAATATGTTAATAATAACATTATCATTTTTTAGCTTATTTTAAGTACCATGAAGTATCGTTTTTTTGGGTGTATACTAAAAATTGTAATTCAAAGTAACCGCTTAATAATATGATTTTAACATTCTTTTACATGTTCTATATAAGTGTTAAGCTTGGAATATACTCAAAATCGAATGACTATATATACTGTACATGCCTTAAAATCTGTGCGCTCGGACGATTTTCTAAAATTAGCTATTTTAGTGATCGACTTTTTTTCGATAGCTTTTTTCCCATTTTTATATATATGCTTTAATTTCCGTTTTCTATAAGTTTTAGTTTTAAATGTTAAAAAAGTCATGAGGTTAAATAGATTTTTTTCAGTGTACAGTGGTTTTGGTTTTGCCAGCTGCTTTGGCCTGGCATTGTTATTATTTGTTTTTAATCTGATCTATGTGTGGGTGGGTCACATATTCATTCAAGTTAACTCCACGTGTTTTCCAAAATTCCTAGTAAATATCCGGTCTCTAGGTAAAATTCTGTTAAAATTTTCGATGGAAATGTTAGATTTTTGGCAATTGCCCTTTGAACGGATTGGTAAACGAATGAAAGGAATTTGTGACCACTAATGAATTAAGGCCAATGCGATTTGTCTGCTGAAAGCCTTCAATTCCATTCGTCTAGCTCTTTCGACCTTCGAAACTCAACTCCCAATTTACAGTTGAGCACTGGGATCCCTTAAAGTATCAGGCTTAACTCATTAACAGCCACAACTCCTGTTGGCCATCAAATTGTCATAAAGCGAAAATCAATAGCAGCATTTAAGGGTAAAAACTGCTTCATTCCCCCATCGGGTGGCCATTATGAGACTTCCTCTTTCAGTCATCCCAAAATGCATTAACATTAATGACATTGCGAAACGAGAATTTATTTTATTTAATTTCCTTAACTTTATTTCGCTGCCGCCCTTTTATCTTTGTTATTACCACCAACGCGGTCACTGCTGCTTTTTGTTTACCATGGCGAGTATATTTAATTTTTGCTTTTTATGGCGTTCCAAACGCCTCGCCGAAAATTGGGAATCTACTTGGAACTGACCCTCAGTGGGTCGCCAGTTTAATGGACGCTTGTGGTGGCCATGCGATTGCCATAATAATCATTAATTTTATGGCAAAACAATAAGGCAGGTAATAAAAGTTTCATTTTCGGGCTTCATTTTCCCTTCGCCTTTTTTTTTTAATGTAGCGGACATGGTGTCAACCCCGGAACCTCGGAACCCTGCAGCCACAGGAACTGGAGCAGCTTGGATGAGCAGAAAATATTAAAAATAATGAAAGTGAAAAGTTTTAACGGCAGCTCCAGTAGTTGGTGTAGTGGTTGCCGCTGCCAGTGGTCCGGGCAGGTACGAAATCCACCTCACCCCTCCGGTTCGAGGTTATAAAAGCCACATTTTGCCTTTTTAACGTTGCCCCCATGGCAAACGAATGGCGCACACTTCTCAAGTGGCAAGCGATCTTGTTTATGCCACTTTGCAACCGCTGAACTTTTGCAGATAAGAACGGGTGCCACGCAACACAGGTGGCAGGGATAGGTGGGCAGAGGGTGTGGGTGTGCGTGTGGGTGTGGGTTTGGGTGGCAAGGCGGTGGTTGAGCTAATAAAGCGGGTGCCACAATTAAGGTCAGGGTGAGTTGTTCTCGCCATCGATGCAGCATTTGCAAATGGCCAGGCATTAAAAACTTGATAATTACTTGTAGATTTTACAGACAGCTGTGGGGGGCAGTAATCTTGTTTCCCTGGTGGCCTATTTAAGTTGGAGCAATCGAGAGGTTTACTATTGCATTTTCACTCTGATGGTTCGTGATAAAAGTGGGAAAACATTTTCAAGTTGTTTTTCCAAATTAAACAGAGTTATTTAAAAACAAAAAACACCGCTTTGGAAATTTGTTTGTGTATGAACTACATTGCCATTGCTACATTCAGATGGAAGAAATTTCAGACTGAAATTATTTGCACTCTATATGACTATCGGCTTTGCAAAATTAAGAAGACCAATTTTGAAAAAGTTTTGTATAAAATGTAGACAATAAGGTTAGTAAAGCTTCGACAGCTTACCCTGTTGATAGTTTTGGCTATCGATGGTGGCTACAAACAAACCATCGATGTTTGCTAAATTGTACGACCATCGATAGTATCGATAGTACTATCGATTGTTTTACCAACCCTAATAGTCAATACACAGGTTCGATTTAATTTTTTGAACTAAATGTTTTTCAACATACTTTTGTGGAAGGATTCTGCGAAAATTAGTGGAAATGAATCCTAATTGCCTTGCGTTTCCAAATTTGACTGCCTTAACATTCTAACCATATTGGATTCCTGACTAATAACTTACAAATATAGATTGCATATCTCAAACATCGCCTGCCTTCAACGCAGATTATTTGCCGCAAACAGATATCTGCGAGATTCGTGCAAACAATTTGAAGATGGTGACCCTGACCGGGGAGAAACTGTTCGGCAACCAGAGCACGCGGTCAAAAGTAAACAAGGTTATGGCCACAGCTCCACCTCCCATCCTATATTCCTGTATACATGCAATTTGAAATTCACAAACAAAACATAAAGCAAAGCTGGCCCGAAATGCTCGAGTTTTGTGTACACTTGAATGGAAGGCCAGGCTAATCTGCATGCAGGGGAAAGCTGCTCAAGAGCAGACAAAGCTGAAGGGTCAGGGTTTTGGGGGTTTCGAGGGGTGCTTTTGCGAAACAGGAGTTCCCATCGCTTTGTGGTAAATAAATGGTAGCCAGGACACCAGCCCGGCCAGAGATCCGCTGGCGCTTTCGGCTTAAGTACATCAAACAAAAGCATAATCTTAGCCAAGCAGAAAAATACACGCATTTACACCGAGAGAAAACTTATTTAGGGTATTCTTTAAGGGTTCTGAATCTCTGAGTTACTGAAATACGGTTAGCTTTTCGTCAGCAGTTCTTACAAATTAACTGGCTGAAATTTCAGCAGTTCAGCAACCCACAGGCTGCTGAAAATGTTGTTGAATTACTAAAAAGCCAGAGAAGTCGCTCTTTTCTATTAAAATTGAGAAGGCAACACTGGTCCCAACATAAAAATCATCACCATATAAATGCAATTGAAGAAGTTTAGACTGTTCCTTGCTTGTTAATAGACCCATTAGTTGGTATTTTCCATTTTTCAAGGAATTTTCCTCGAATTCAACCAAAAGCTAAGGCAAATTAAGCTATGAAAGAAAACAATAGCTGAAAATTTCAGGATGAAACATTTTTGGTCGTTCCCTCAACTGCTGAAAATGTCTGCTATATTTTGAGCAATTCAGAGATGCAGTCGTTTTGGGAATATTAAGGTGTTTAAGGTACTTATATAAAATGTAAAATAAACGTTTTTCTTTAACATTTAATATACTAATATTATTTTATTTACTAATGTTATATAAAATTATTATTATTAATTGTGCATCGTTATGTAGGAAATGAAATGAATTTATTTTCAAAAGAAAGTACTGATGTATTGAAAACGTACTAGTCTTTGTAACGAGTGTATTCAGATTTAAGGTGCTGTATTTGGTGTGTTAAATTTTTTTTCTGTGTAGGCTGATGAACGGAGGGCACCGTATAGCATAAAATTATCCGCGACATTGCGGCCACGTCAAGTAAAATAGATTAATTTTACCTGTGGCCAACGGGCCAGAAGGTTGTCGTCCTCAACCTTCCATCCTGATTTTCCATCCCTCCGACCGCTCACACAAATTAGATTGGCAGGCGACACAGACACACAGACACACACCGCCCAGCCCCTTAACCCCTCACAGCACACACCTCACACCTTCGTCGGAAAATCTCCTTCGGGCGTAAAGCTTTCTTGCCGCAGTCAAATTAAATAAAATCCAATTTAAAATGAATTTTCGCAATTTCATTTAAAACGGGCAACAGTTTGTAGCGGCATCGCCGAGTCAGTCGGCAATTTATGCGGCTGATGTCGAGCTCCAGGTCCTTAACCCTCCCCCGCCTTGCGGTTACCACTTGCTCCTGGGCCTCAAATTGGAATTAACGTTTTTAATGACGAGTCAGCTTCTGTTTGTCGGAGCAAAAGAGATGCCTCTCAAACTGCTGCACGCACATCCTGAAGGTCCTTGCCACCACCACCGCCATTCATTAATGCGCTTTTTATTAGGAAAATCGTTAACTTGAGTTTCCCCACTTAGCGTTTTGCGCCGAGCTTTTACTTTCGTCTTTATTAAAAACTTTGGCGTCATGCATAAAACTCGTCAGTTTATTGCGATTTTTACACTTCGTTTATGAGCCGGATCCGGGGACCCAGGCAGAACCTGGTCAGGAGAGGTTGCCCACTAATCCGCTTGTTTTTCATAATCCTTACGCCACAGGCAGCGGCCAGGACCAGTGTGCAGCCGTTGGAACAACAGCACCGCAGTGCAAAGTGGCTGGCGGAATTTATTTCATTTTTATTAAAGACGTTGACGGAAAGTGCGTGGATGAGGTCGGACTAGTGGGCGTTTGGCGGTGTGGATGTGGGTGTGGGTGGTTTGCCAGTGACACGCGTGGCTTGTCAAAGCCATGAACAGCTGCTGCCTTTGGCGGGCTAGGCATATGTGTGGACATAATTTCCTTTTTTTTTCATGCGTTGCCTCCATTTTTGTGGCTGTGAGAAATTATTTTTGCAATGGGGTCGATGTAAGTTGAGCGGTCGCTTGTGGGGAAAGTATGCGGCGCGCAAAGTTCGGTTTTTGTGTAGCGGAAATTCAGGGTAAACTTTAGTTCAAAGGACGAAATGTGACAGATGAAAGGCTCTGAGCACAGGTTAAATATACATATGCCTCTACTAATGCTAAAACCACTGAAATTTCTTTACAATTATGAAATTAACAAAAGCGAACTACTCTATCGTTGACAATCAAATCTCGAAATGTTTACCCTTTTTCTAAAAGCAAGTACCTTGAACCTGTGTTGGCAACAGCTGCAATTAATCTTGTTAAAGTGACGACATTATTTTACTACGTTAGCAGTGCACAAACTTTATTAGCTTCCCAAAAAAATATCTATCTTTCATTTAAAATGCCATTAGTCTTCCAAAAAACATTTATTTTTACCTTCCTCATAAAAATGTGTAATATTTTACTTATCTAAGCTGCTGAGAAACAGAAACTTTGGTGATAGGGACCCAAGAAGACTAAAGCTAACGAAACCACACGCAAATTTAAGGCCAAGCCACGAAACAATCTTAGCACTTTACCCTCGAAAATCTAGGTGCTATCCATTTCCCGTGCAAAATCAGGCTAATGACCCATTGTGGCAACTGTCCATGGACAACTTTATTACGCTGACGTGCTGAAAAATCTCGGGAGCATTACTCAAGCCGTTTTATTGGCTCCTTTTTCGACTGACCCCCGCTGTCAACAAGACGGCCTGACAAATAAAGCCGCTCACCGCCCACCGCTCACCGGAAATGGGGAAGATGATGCGGCAGAGGCCAAAGTCGTCCGTCTGGAGGCTTGAATTACCCAAAAATTGGCGGGGAAATGCGAGAATGCGAGAATCATCCGTCTGCCGCCAGGCCGCAGGTGGTGTTCTTTGTTAAACTTGAAAAATTATATTTTATTTGCCGGGCTCCGCTGTGCGCTGTACTGATTTCGCGGCCCTTTTCCATTGGCATGGAAAAAGGGGAAAAACTTTTGCTGCGTCGCGGCCCCATTTCGTTTCCCTTTTTATAACAATGGTAAACAAGGGAACCAGGAATATCTCTGGGCATCTTTTTGAATAATGATTTGCCACTTGGGAGCATTTGTAAATTAGATGCCGCTGTGTAGCTGCTGTTGTCCCACCGCCGCGCGGTTCGCTGCCGGGGACAGCGTAAATATTTAATTTGCGAGATATTTCGAGCGGAAGGCGGCCGACTAAGTTGACCTTTGACTTGTGTTCCCCATTTTTTTTTCATTCGCTACTTTCAGAAGCCATTATCATTATACCCATTGTTGTCGGCGGCCGGGCAAGGGTTGTAGCGTTTTCCATTACTTTCATTACTTTCGGCCACACTCAGCTATCCACATTTTCGGACCGCCGCCTGCGCACTTGACTCAATAATGAGTCAGTTAATTGAGGTGACAATTGCTGGGCACTCTCGAGAGACTCGGCCCTTGACTTATGGCATTTTGATCATTTTATGCACTCGAAAGGCAAATCAAAGTCAACCCTTTTCGAAATGATTTAATGCTTTTAGATGGACAAAGCATTCTCTCTTAAGGAAATTTATGAAGTTACTTAGACGGGGGTTCGTGTTACTCCTGATGGGACTGAATACAATAATTTTTTGGACTTTTTGTCATTCAAAGTTGGGAGTTTGGCTTAAGCATCTTTCTGTCTTCTCTAATATGAACTTTTACGATGATTATGGGAATGTTTCATTCGATAAAGAGTTAATTCTAACTTTTGGAAAAAACTGAGATATGTATTCTTTTAACGATAAGCCAAAATATGTATGTTAGCATTAGCATGTTTTAAGCAACTGAGTTCTTTACTTCTTTAGTAGTGAAATGCAATTTAATTTTGATTAATTGGTTAATATGAGATTACCAAAACCATAAATTCTCAGTTGGAATGCTATCTTTGTTCTTTGTTTTCAAACGTACACGTAAAGAAAATCACCACAGTTAAATTATAAATTAACATTTTTGATGTAAGATTAAATATAAACTTACTTAAAATTAACTTAAAACATAATAATGTCATTACTTACTAATTTATTTGGTTTATCCAATAGAAAAATTGTAGATTTTAATTAAATACTTAAATATAAAAATGCTTAATACTTAAAAATAAAAATATAGGTGTAACACACTTTGATTTACACACAGCACCCCTCGGGACTAATTCAGTACCGAAAATATTTAACTCAAAGTGAAAATATTTGAATTTTTCTTTGGGCTTAATAGCACATAAGATCACATTTCTAAGGGGGACTGGTCGACTATTTCGAAATTATTTCCTGAAGCGGAAGGAAACAATTTGACCTGCACCCGCTTCATTGGCATGTAGTGCCCCTTAAAATATAGTGAGCTGACTCACCTGTCCGCCTTTTTGACGCCGGACCACATGGCCGCCGAGACGGGTGGCATGAACCGCAAGTTGCCGACCGGCGGCGAGGCGTAGGGGATTCCCCGGTACGCCTCGACCGGATCCAAGTGCCGCCCATCCAGTTGCACAATCACGCCCGTCAGGTCGCCATTGCGTGTGTGGATAATCCGCGACGACAGCTGGGCGGGTAATTGATCGTGGTTCGTGTTGGAGTTCGAATTGGAAAACGAATTCGAATTCGAATTCGAGTTGCTGTTGTTGCTGGTGGGGCGGCCACTGCGGCTGCCACTGGCGCCGCTGTTGTTGTTGGCGGCGGACGAGGACGAAGTGAGCGACAACGAGGGCACGGAACTGGAGGTGGCGCTGCTGGAGCCGATCAGCACGAGTCCGCCGTTGTTCGTCGTCGCGGGTCCCGAACCGGAGCTCCTCTGCGAGGTGCTCAGGTTTCCGCCGTTGCTGCTGTAGCTAATCCCGGCCGCCGTGCAACTGGATACGTGTACGTCCAGGACCACCAGCACCAGCAGAGAGGACCACGCCCCCGTCCAGGTCCACCTCCACGTCCACGCCCCCCTGGTGGACGACACTTTCCGCCGCGTTCTCGTGGCAGCTGAAGGCGGGAGTTGTCGCTTCGAGTGCAGCAACATAACCATTATAATTACTGGTCAAAATGGCCACGTCGCAATGTTGTCGTTGTTTTTCCGATAACTTGATGTCCGACTGCTGTTTTGTGTTCTTTCTCTCCACTCTTGTATAATTGACCACAAGATAGCCGTTCGTGGGGTGGCCTGATTTTCGCTTTGCTTGTTTCGGCAAGGACTTACACTTTTTATGTCCCTTTTTATTAATTTTACTTTACAGCAGCAATCCGTTTTTTGTTGGGTTTTTGGTGCAAAAAGTGGCAGTTTAAGTAAACTGGAAAGAGAATCAATAAATTTGTTTAATTAACTGTTTTGGATCATTAAATTGCAATGATTTTTATTTAGTATTTTACAATGGTATAAATGACTAGCTCAATAATACATTTGATTTTTATCACCCATAATTTAAAAAAGGAAGAATTACTATAGTCGAGTGGCCCGACTACTCAGCTTGTCCATTTAAAACAGATTTCTTTTTTACGCAAATTAATTTTGCTAATTACTTCTAAAACAATAGCTCGGTTTGAAAAATATTTGAGTCTACCGGTAGGTATGACCAAAAGGCACATACATAGAATTTGTATTCTTGATCTTAAATTTCTAGCTTTTACAGTTTCCGATTAGTTTCCGGTTATTGATCCTGATCAAGAAACGCTTTCTTTTATCTGGGACATACTTTTTAACGAAAACTGTGTACCTTTTTACTCCACGAGAAATATTGAGAGAATGTAGAGCAACAAAAAAGTGTACAATTGCGTATTGCTTAATAAGGTCTAATAAATGGCAATCAAATCACAATTAAAAAACAAATAAATACATAAGAAGTAACTTATTAAAAAATATTTGTCGAGGAATAGTTTTTGTGGATAACTCAACATTTTAAGTTTGAGATATTTTAAGATTTTCACATGGCTCCATAACTTTAACTAATTAAGCTTAAGTCTAAATTCTATAAGGTCTCTTTCTGCATTCTTCATTTGGGCTCTTCTGCCCTCATCAAGGCAATTCGGCGGAGTTTGTGTCTTGAAGCATTTCATTCGGTCCTTACTGCCCTTTTTGTTGTCTGACTAGAGGCATTCCCCCAAAAAAAAGGTGAACAAAAGGGGTGGGATGTGGGTAAAAACTACTCCGTCCACTCGTTGCCTTTTCCTTTTTCTTCAGCTTGTTTTTGGTATGTTAGCCAGCTGAAGCATCACCTTGTTTGCACTTGGTGTAGTGTCCTTGCCCTTGTTGTAGACGACAACAACAAAAAGGGTGGAGGGGCTTAGTGGGCACCAATGAATGGATGGGGATGGGCGGGCAGCCAGGACAGTTGGCATTTTGCATATGCCAGACATGTCAGTCTAGCTGGCAGGCAGAGCAGAGAATCCTGACAACACGGGGAGAATGCCTACGTGCAAGGACTGAGAAGTGGGCGGTGTAGGGTTAAGGTGCAGAGTCCAGAGGTGCAGAATCCTTTTCAGGGCCCAATTGGTGACATTGGGTCATTGGATCAACAATTCGAAGGAGTCAAATGATGGGCGGCCCGGTAAAGGGGTTTGGATGTACGGGTTATTAACGGATTTGTTTTCAGGTACCTTTAATTGATTTGTAGACTTAATGCCGTTTAGTCTTCTTTTAGATTATGTCCTTGCTGCTATCAAATTGTCAGTTAACAAAAACTTAAAAAAAGGATTGAAAACAGCTTTTTGATGGCATTACTTATTTAAAAAAAAACTATTGTTTGTCAATAGATATAAAACTTTTTGCCATTTTACTTTCATTTCTTACAGCCAATGTAATTGCCCAATTCAAACAAACATAAAACACAGATTAAACACAGATTAAACACAGATAGATTTTTGTTATAAATAAATGCTCTTTTTATTAACTTGTTTTAACATAAAAGAAACAAAAAAAAAATAAAAAAAACATAACATATAAATAAACAAAGACTTGCATCAATTGAAAAATGTTTTTATCAAAGCATATTCCGTTGAAAAAAAAGCCTTTGAATCTATTTTATTGTGTTGCTAGTTCAGAAAGAAATTTAAAATACATTTATTTAAATATTTTGTTTTATTCATAAAACGAAATGTTTTTGCTAAGCGCATCTGGGTTAACTTTTGCCTAACTTTAATTTAAAATTCAACTTTGCTGGGACATTGTTTCTCAGAGTTTACTTCGGAAGTGGTAGAATCGAACTTGCCTCCGATATTGGCTGCTGTAAGAGGTTTACCCCACTGCAATCTTTTTCCCCTGCAGCCTTTGTCTTGAGTAAGGCACTCGGCAGAACCATAAGCCCATGGTGACATCTCCTGCTCCGCCCCCTAGATATTCCTTCTCTCGGGAAAGGAAGGCATTTTTATTCAGCTCGCACTTACTTATTCCGTGCGTCGGCTCTGCTGCTGTCTGCGGCTCGAGTGCAGGTGCTAAGCCCTTCTGTCGTGCACGAGCGTTGGATGTCCTTGCTCCTCGCTCCTCGCTTTCTCCTGCTTTCTCCTGCTTTCTCCTGCGACCTATTGCTGCTCCTGGTTGAGAATCACTTCACGTACTGCTCTCTCAGCCGCGTCGTCTGCTGCTGCTGCGTTTTTTGAATGCCGGCACGCTACAATTGTCATGCAAGCGGACATTCTCCACGGAGACGTTCACGTACTCAGCGATGAGCAGGATTCCGGGCAGGAGACGATAGCAGACTCTGGTTGGGCCTCTGGTTGATGTCCTCCATGGCCGACGATGCTGCAATCGGATCAGAGAGATGGCACACTTTTATTAGACCTTCTATTCGCCTATGTGGAACCTAAAGTATGCTTAGCAATTAACTCGACACGCGCCATTTTGCGTATTTAGAGGGGTAAACAGTTTGTCTAAGGAGGAGAATCCTTAAGCGATTTCCTTGCTTCTGCGGTATTACCAATTTTCTATTTTGTTTTGCTTCAATAAATATTGTTTGAACACTCTTTTAAATCTAATTTTAATTTAAAACAAAATATAAGCCTTTGTGTGTAAAACTTCTTAAACAAACATCGGTAACAAATTTTGTAAGTTTATTTTTTTGGTAAAGAAAAACCATTGAAACTAAATTATTTTATTATTAAATTGATTGGATGTGCCCCGGTACAGAATTTGTAATATAAATTGAGACAAATATTTATTATGCTGTGTTTTGTCTGGGTTATTTAAAGTGCCTCTTGTTCTTTCTATTTGCTCTTCCAAAATATTTCAAGACCTTGAGTCAGCCAAACACACCATAGCCACCACACCAGGTCATTAAGAATTTTAAATATGGCAAATATTTAATTTTTGTTTATTTCTAAGACAACAGCGAGTGATTTTAAGCGAATATCAAGGCTGCCTTTCTCCGTAGCTAAAACATCAATTCGATTCACTTTGCTATATTCTTTGATAATTAATTAATGATATCAACACACCAAATAGAAACTTAGATTATCCCCTTTCCCGACCGCCGTTTCTGCAGGGTATTAATTGAATCAGTGACTCGAAGCTGGTGGAAAATTTTAATTATATGATGCCCTCAAGTGTAAGTAAATTATTATGCAGATCATTAGCAAAGTAATTAGACTCGGCTGCCTAGCCGCCCATAATCCTCGGCTCACTAGTTGAATTAATTGTATTTCTGGAAATTGAGTTATTCCCACATTCCGTCAGAGCATCCCGTTGGCGTTCCTTGGCTTGTTGGTGCTTTTCATTTATTATGCGAATTTCGACTTCATTTTCGGCACTTAATTTCCCCCAGGCAGGGACCGGCACGTCGAGTCACATAAGTAAACAGACCAGACCAGAAGGATTGTAGAGTGTCAGTTGCTTAGTTTGCTCAACAAATAAGATCGTCCAATGTCCGCAGAAGTAGTGACTTTCCTGGAAAGCCTTGTGGATCAGGCGTTTTGTTTTACCCTGTTTTTGTGAATGGGTTGGGAGCATGTCACACTGCGTAATATTCTTAAGATGGTGCAACAAACACACAAATATGCCCTTGTTTGTAGGCCAACTGGACTTTTCCGCCTCTTATTAGTGTCGGAACCGTACTGCCTGACATCTTTGAGGAGGATTGAAACAAGCCAGCTCAAGATTCTACTTAAGCGCACTCAGAGATAGCGTCTACATAATAATGCCGCCTTATTACATGACAGGAAAAACATCTCCAACTTTGCTGTTGCTTCCCAAAGATTCTGCTCGAACTTTTGGACTCAAAACAAAAAGTTGTCAAAAGTTCAAATTTGTATACAACTTGTATATGTGCGCAAGTATTCGAAATTACTTTATTCACATTCGTAATTTGTAACTCGGCTTTCAAAGATATAATTGGATTCGGGAGTGTTTTCATGTTGTTTGCCTAATTTAATTGCAAATAAACGAAACGAAATTCCAGTTTGTGAAATACTTTTCCTTTAATTAAAAATCAAAACGCGATAAGCGACCCAGGGAATTGCTATGGAAAACGTTTTATCACGGTCGCGGGGGGAATTAAATCTTCAGCAAAAGCAAAAAGCAGTCTCTTGACTTTGCAACTGGCCGCAATTTCCGTCTCGCCGCAACTTTTTCTTCGCTCTTTGTGCCATAAATTCAGCGCCAGCTAGACGGAGCATCCGCATTCGCATCCGCATCCGCAGCCTCAGTTATTTTACCCGGTCCGAGGGTCATTAATTTGTCTTTTGAGGTGGTGGTGGAGGTGGTGGCGAGGGTGGATGAAAGGCATTTTGAACGAGGAGCAGTGGCAGTCGTTGCCGCCGCGGCATTAAACTGCTTAAGTAGCACAACTAAATTAAGAATTGTGGGCCAAGCAATTAGAAAAGGGGCAGCAAAGGCAGGTCAAACAAGGAGCAATAAAGTTCGAAGTTAGGTCAATCCTGAGGTGTAATGGATATTTGTTCGCTCCGATCTTTCTGACATAATCTTATAGGCTTTTTATAAAATAAGTCCCGGGACTTATAAAAGAAAGCGACTTGGATACCAAACTTAAATGTGTCTGTAAGTAGGGAGCAGTGCTAATTTGTCTTAAAATGGGCATATTAATGAACTTTTTTTAAGCAAAATTGTTAATATCTATCTTATATATTTAGTATTCAAAATCTGTCCAGTAGTTGTTAAAGTTATGATGAACGCCGACTTTCAAAAGGTGAGTTGTTAAAAAAACGCATTAAGTTTTAAACACTAGTATTAGTGAACATATATTATTAATATCGACATTAATTAAAAAAATCTAAATAAAATATGAAGGTTTGGCTTTAATGACTAAAACTAAAAGCAGATAAAAATTGCATTTACAAACATTAAAAAGTGTATAATATGGCTTATTATTTTGTATAATATACTAAACGAAAGCTTAAACCGTTAAAAGACTTCTACTTTTTCAATGTGCCCTCATCTGGGAAAAATTTGCTGCTTTATAGTAAGTATATCGATTTTTACGCTCTCAGACACGCATTTCCGGAAATTTAATCAGTTTTGGTGCTTTTCTGAATTGTGGAAGGCAAACGAAACGAAAGAATCTTCACAAATATAAAAAGAAATCCAAATCCAGAGGCAAAGGAAAAGGAAAAGAATGCAAGGGCAGAGGAGAAAACGGTAGAGATAGGGAGGAAAATTGTTTAGCAGTCGTCTGACTGGAAATAGAAATGAAAATGTTTCTGACTTACTTGCCTTGGCTTTGTTATTTGACTTTATTGAAATGACTGTCTTGCTTTGCCTTGCTTAAGTGGGTATGAAAATACACATGTAGAGGAAGAAACAACAACCACGAAGATGAAAATGATTTTGTTTCGCCAAAGAAAAAATAAAGCAAAGATATTTTTTACAAAGTTCCTTATAATTGTTTTACTAAATTCCTCGAGCCACATTCAGCGCCATGAGTAACATAACAGTTTTAACTCATGACTCCAGGGAAAACTATTGTTTTTGCATAAAGCTTTGTCTGATGGAGAAACCTAAATGTAGACAGATACTCGGACAAACTCAAGCCGTAATACTTTATGCAAATTTATGCAAAAATGTGGGAAATTCTCTTCAAGAAAATATGAGCGAAAAATGCAATCTGCAAAAGAGTTAAACCAAAGAGGAACAAAAAAGAAACGAACTAAGTGGGGTGGAGAACTTTTCAAGTGATGGGAAATAATGCGACTTTTTAACTATGTTTTAGTTTGGCCAAATGCATTTTGCATGTCAGAGTTCGTCTCTAGATAATACCATTCGAGAGGAACTCTCCGAGTTTTTATCTCCGTCTCTCCATTGCCCTAATGGGCTACCTCCTTTTTGCTGCGTTTTGGGTTTCATTATGTTGGCCATCCGACAAACAAAGGCTTATCATTTTTTGCTCACCACGTCCTTCATTTATGTATACGAGAACACAACTTCTCGCCTCTGCGACTGGTCTCCGCCTTCTGCCGGCAAAAATAGCTTAAACAATGGCTTTGCACAACAACGAAGGCAGAAATTAAACTGGCTTTCATCAGGAAGAGCGCAACTGGCAAGTCAACGAGAAGAAAATAAAGAAGCGTTCTCTGGCAAGTAGTGGGAACAAAAAAATACTTGGCGGAAACTATAATCCATCTGCATTAAAAAAATGCAGCGGAGAAAATAGTTTCTGGCCTGAGCCCCAAAGCAGCTCAAAAGGGTATTTTATTTTAGCATAAATGCTTACATAAAATTAAATATGCAAAATGAGAGATTGCTTTAACTGCAAATGGAATATTGCAGATATCTTATGAGGATTTCCATATATGCAAATGGTGAGCTCGTTAATGTTTCATATACAGTTTTACCTTGAACCCCATCAAATCACATTTGCGAGGGTTCTTAAATTTAAATGAATTATTCAAGCATTTACAACGAGCTTAGGAAATGGCCATTGGAAATTCGAGCTCGCACACTAAATTGAACTTAAAGTGATAAGTCCAATCAGAGCGAGAAACTCTCACACACAGGGTTTAAATTATTGAAAGGCAGCCGATGTGCGGAATCCTTCGAATGAGATACACATGTATTTATCCTTGGGCCAAACATTAGCGAAGGCAATAAATTTATCGCACAATTGGGCCCGGAAAATGCATGGAAAATTAATTTCCCTCCGATTTTACAATGCCCTTGCCACACGAGGCATAAATTTAGCGCTCGCGGCTTACAAATTTGAAAAGCAAATTTTCGACGCAGTTAGAAATAAATTATCGTTTAATATTGGCAAATAATACGATACCAACGAATCCCCTTCCCTTCTCTCATTCATTCCTGAGTTTTTTCTCCGTCTGGCCTTGCCAGAAATTCGCAAATTGAATTCGTTATTCGGCGTCGCATGAAATAATTTTGCCTTGGGGGGTCACCAGCAGCAAATGACGAAATAATGATATTAGAGCAACATTACGCCATTACGTAGCGACATACATGCAAAAATAATTGACGACAATGACGTAGGCTACATACATACATCGGCAGCCAAAGACATTGCGCATACGCCCCGTAAGCCAAGCCAGTCTAAGTAATGAGGCTAGAGGGCACAGGCGGAGTTGGCAAAGTCACCGACTGGAGAGAACACGGAATACATTATTCTGAAGGGTATAGACATTGAGGTAACCTGTAAAATAGTTCCAATTATATAGAGCTCAGTGCATAATCAAAGAGCGGTTTGAACTAAACCGACAAAGAACACAAAAATGTATGTTTAAATTGCCATCCAAACCTTTTCGCCATTTTTGAACAGCTTTGAAGCGCTTGCATTGCAACTTCAG